GATGGAGAGGAAATAACTGGGAAATAATAGGATTATTTATAATATGTAAGATATTAATGCAGTGCAATGTAATATAATACAAATAACATAATATATACTACATACAATACATATAATATAACACAATATAACATAATATAATGTGTTATAATGTTTGAGCCTGACTTCCAGCTCTTTCCTTTAGGCCTAATTCCTATTTTCCTCCAAGCCCATCCCGAGCATCTCCCTGTGCTGCCAGAGCAGAGATTTGTTCTCCATCTGGGAATATTGGTGCCTTCTGGAGCAGCCCTGAACTCTCCATTAGACCAGTTGCTTTCTGATTTGGAGGGGAGCAAAGAGTTAAAATTTATTCCATCCACCTGTATATTTTCCCAAGCCTTCTGATAGCAATCAAGAATGCAGGAAATGGTGTATTTAAGGGGTGAATTTGCCAAAACTGTGCCACAAGTCAAACTTATAAAGCAAAGTTTATTTGTAAAGTTACAGAAGGCTGAAGTATCTCCTGTTGAAGGGGTAAGTCTCTTTAAACCTATCCCGGGATTTTTTTTTCCACCTCTGCCTTTTGAAATGATTGGGCTTGGGAAGAGGGAGAGGATTCATGAAGAGGGGCTTGGTTTTAATCTAATAAGTGTTTTTTTTCCCCTGTAGGCAAGTGCTGGAGCTCATCAAGGCACAGATCAGCCCTGCTGGGTTATAGAGGGACCTTTGACTGTTGACTGGGATCATTTCAGCTCGTTTGGAGCCCTGTGAGGGACCTGACAGGGCTCAGCACCACTGGAATTGGTGTCTATCTGTGCTGGATGGTGGGAGGCTGTGGTGGGGTACTGGGATGTGCCCCCAGCCACACAAGGACCACGAGTTCTTGCCCGTGAACCCAGCCTGCCCCTGTGTGCTGCTTCCCAGGGATCCTCAAATCCCTAAAGGCTCTGCGAGGATGTTTTATAAACTCTTCCTGTGCTGAAGTGGCAGCCACCTCGGTGGTCACTGCACCCCTAGTGCAAGGGTAGCACATCAAACTTCTTTAGAGGTTAAAAAATGAATTGTGTTTGCATTCCTTGCAGGAAGTGGGAGCTGGTGTTTGGCTCCTTGTTGCTTGGGAGTCTCGGGGGGCTGGGAAGGGGCTCTCAGGATTCATGGCTTAAACCAGCCATGTCTCCTGTTGGTGATGCCTTTGGCTCCTGGTCACTGCCCACTGTGACAGGGAAATGTACCCCATCCTTTTCCACCCTGGAGAGGCAGCAGCACCTCCCGCCTACGTGAGCTCTGGCAGGCTCGTGCCAGAGCCTGCTCTTCCCAGCTCCTGCAGCTCTGGGACCTGGGGCAGGGAAATGGGATGGGCAGGGACTGTCACCTGCTGTGAGGGGCTGGGTGAGCCCAGGAACACCCTGGTGGGGGCGAGGCAAAGCCTTAACTCCATGTTGCTTCCCACCCCTTGGATACCCTGCAGGTGGAATGGGCTCATCCCTGCCTGCGGAACAGCCAGCAAGTGCAGCCCTGTGGCCAAGCTCCCATGGAATGGAACCACATCCCACAGAACACCAGCCCCTTCAGGTCACTGCTGCTCGGACCCTGACACACACAGGGACACCAGCTCGGGGAGTAGCTCCAAAACCAGCCAGTGGCTGCTCTTCCAAAGGCGTTGGGTCAGCACGGCAGGGCTGGAGCGACGGCAGCCGTGGGGTTTGGCTCCCGTTGCCTCTGTGCACAGCTCCCTTGGGTTAATCCAGATCCCTCTGGGAGGAATCAGTGATAAACCCAGGCTGGGAGCACTGCAGGTGCTGCCTTGGCATGGGGCAGCGGGGCTGGGCACCCACGGTGGCACCGGGCCACCACGGGCTGGGTGGCCCTTTCTTGGGGGGTGGCTAATGACTTGTAATTGAGATGAGGCTTTAACACCCAGCAGCAGGTGAGCTGGCACACTGGGGAGGGGGAGGGAGCCGAGATAGGGGCGAGTCTGGGTGCCAGGGGCACCGCTGAGCCGGCCCGACCGGTCCAACCTGCCCCTGCCGGTGCCGGATCCCGGCTGGGCTGACACCTCCTCCTGCTGCCCGACACCCCACTGAGGCACACAGAAGGGGGCTGGGGTGGTTTCTTTCCTGCCAGGAAAAAGCACAAAGCCACCCAAAACAGCAGCTCGGTTGGGGTTTGCACGGGGAAGAAGAGCTGGCCCTCGGCGAGGCCTGGAGGGTGACACTGGGGTGTGACAGGGGCTGGCCTGGCCTCAGCTGGAAAGGCAGGAGAAGGAGGGAATAAAACTCTTTGCAGAGAACAGTGTGGATGGTCGGGCCCTGGAGACACCAGGCACGATGGGGTGGGAGTGAACCCTGGCTCTGGAAGGGCCACAGGGCTGTCCCAGACCATCACTGGAGCTCCTCAAGGCTCCCTGGGCATTGCTGGCACCGAGCAGAGTTGGGTGCAATGGGAAGGGGCATTTTCCCCCAGTTCTCTCTGTGTGAGTCCAGCCCTTTGAACATCACCTTCAAAAATGCAAAGGCCAGAAACCTACTTTACGCTCCCTAAAAAAATCAAATTAAAATACATTGAAAGGTGGATGCCATGTAAAAGGGGATTTAGAAAAGCACTCAGGAGCAGGGATGGAACACGGCAATAAAATCATTTCTTTGGGCAAAGACAATGATCTCCACGAAGCCAGTGATGACTTAGAGGGTTGGCAATGCCTCTCAGCTCCCTGATAAAGGTGCTCAGGGAGGTACGTGGGTGCCTGCATGTGCTGGGTGACCTGGCTTCCTCTCCATGGAATAAAATAAATCATTAAAAACCCCCTTTAAAATCCTGCAGCATTTTCCACACATTTCTTCCCCCCCCCCCCCCCCCCTTCCCCCGTGGGGTTATCTCCTCTGGTTCCAAAGCCACAAGAAAATATCATCATATTTTTAAACCCAAACCTCAAGGTAAATAAAGGCAAGGGTTTGGATCTGCATCCAGCCCTCACCACTTCTATCAGGGAAAAAAACACCAGCACAGTTCTCCGCCGATATAAGACAGAAAGGTGGAGAACATTTTTTAAATGTTCTGAAAACATTCCATCATCTATAGCAATCAAAGCCCCATTGAAAGCTACAGAACCCCTCACATTCGAGGGTTTTAATGAAAACCAAATTTTTATTTTTTTATTTTTTTTTTTCAGGGCCTGTGTTTTTCTTTGCGAGGATTTCCAGGGGAATACAACCGGAGCGGGGGGCGGACGCGGGGAGCTTGGCTGGAGTTCCTCCTGCCCCAGTAGGGCTTTCACTGTGGGGGTTTTTAAAATGGTTTAAAGATAACGTGGCCTTTTGGGGCTTGCCAAAGTGCTCTGTCTTGCCCCGGATCAGCGCTGGGTCACTTTTCGCTGGGAGATGAAGGATGGGGCAGGGGCAGGAGGGGAGAGGGGGGTCTTGGGTGGTTGCCATGAGGGGAGGGCTCCCAGGGTCGGGCTGCCAGGCTGCGGGCAGGAAGGCAAAAAGCAAATTCGGGGCTTAACTTTTAACGGTGTGGAGCTGGGCAAAGTGCCTGCCCTCTGTACCAGGGGGAACATCCCACGTGCCACCAGCTGCCCGGCCCTGGGAGCAGAAACCTCCACACACACCCTCCTCGGAAAGAAGCAGGGGTTATATCTCCCCCCCTAAAATACCCTGCATAAACCCCCCCAGTTTCTCTGGGTCAGCTGAAAGGCTGCTGTTAACAAACGTTTTTTAGGTTTGGTTCTCTTTTTCCCGGTTGCTTTTAGTCTAACCCCACATGGAAGTGAGTTGTTGCCGTGATGAGGACGCTGCTGAGGAGGGGTCGGCAGAGCTGTCCAGTGGCCCCATCCCACAGCAAGGACCTTCCCTCGGGTCTCTCCCTCAACCATCAGTGCCTGAAATCCCCGGGAGCCACTCCCTGCCCAGCGGGGTCCCCCGTGGGGCACAGGGGAAGGGAGTGGGTGAAGTGCTGTTGCCCACCCAGGCGGGGACGGTGGTGGCGTGGCCAGGGGGCTGCGGGTGCTGGACCACACAGCTCCGAGGCAGCAGCAGGGAGGAGTTCAGGGAGCCCTAAAAGCACCCGGTGGCAGCAGGGGCAGCCTGGGGACCCCCGGGTTTCGCAGGAACATTTAATCCCCTCGTTAACGTCCCCCATTAGAACAATTCATTCTTTCACTCCGGCTTAAACACCCAACTTTACTTTACAGCTCATTTCATTTATGACTGAGAAATGAAATTACTGTATCGATTTCATGGCAGACAGTGAAAAAAACCTGGGTGTTCCTGGTCGTAATAAACCCACGGGCTGCAAAGACAAACAGCAAAACCTGCCAAGTTGGGGGGGAGGCCGGGCTGCAGCCACCGCAGGGACCCACTGGGAACAGCACCGGGAGCAGCACCGGGACTGGCACCTCCGGGTCCTGCCTCTGGAGCCAAACCCAGATCTGCTGTGGTTGCTTTCCTCTCCGTCTTAAAAAATTCTCTGTATATGTTTGGAGGGACCTGGGGGCTTTGCAAATCGCTCAGATGGAAAGGAAATACGCTGCCTGGTAGCACTGGTGTGAAATATCCCTCCTGGAGCGCGGCCAGAGCCCGGGCGGGGGCTGGAAAAGGGGTTCGCGGCATCACCGCAGGGGGATCAGCAGAGCGCTGTGCGGAGATGGAGAACCCGACCTGATCCTTGGCTGCCCACCCGATGGGCATGGCAGTGTGGGCAGAGCCAGGATTTGGGTGATCCAGCCCCAAAAGCTCGCTGGGGTTTCCTTGCCCTCCCGCTTTGCTGGCTGTGGCAGCGCCGTGCCAGGGGCAGGAGCTCAGGGCAGCGCCCTGGTGCTCCCACCACTCTCCCGACCACTTTGCTGCCCCGGTTCCATCCCAGGGATGCTTTGGTTGCCCAAAGAGACCCCCGGGATTTCCAGTGCAGTGTCGGGCTGGAGGTGCACGGTGCACGGCCTGCCAGGAGCCCGGATACCTCACCAAAAAAAGCAGCACCCCTATAAGCAC